ATTATTTATTATTGTTGTTATTAAATACTGTACTATGCTATTTATTGATTTATAAAATATAAAATGCATCTGTAATGTTTAAATATATCATTTTAAGCGATTGTATTTCCACCATGGATATGTAGTTCATAGGGTTGGTGCCAGGGTCGAATTTTATAATGTTAGTCATTTCATGATGGAAATGAGTAAATTTAGAATACTGTTATAGGTTAAAGTAAGGGTTAGTATTAGAGCCTAATATTTAAATTAGTATAAGGTTTTGGAAGCTCTAAGCATTCTTATTTAAGGTCAAACTAATTACAAATGACTCTTTATATAAAAAAGTTACCGGGTCCAGTCAAAATCTTTCTTATATCAAGATTTCTTATATCGAATGCTTTTTATTATAAAAATTCTCGATTGGGACTTGTAGAATCTTTCTTGTATCAGGAGTTTCTTATATTGGAGGGTTTTTATATCGTGAGTTACTTGTATTTTGCCAGTTTTTGAGATATCGATATAGCAATTATAATGTTCAACACTACACGTAGATTAGTACTTGTAGTTGATTTTATCGGCTTAGTCGAGTTTATGCTAGACCTTATTAAAAAAATTACAGCAACCAAATTAAATTATCAAATTTGGGCCGATTTTGTAGGTTATATATCCTTCTCGAAAAATTACAAAAAGAAATTCAAATACGGGCAAGGTAGTAAAATTTTAGGAAAATATACGATAATTTTCGAAAGTCAAAGATGATTGACTTTGACTTAGCCGGCTAAGCCGATTTTTAAATACTGAACAAGTATTGTTATTATAATAAACTTGATTTTAATTGACCTGGGTCAAGGTAATTTTGTAAGTAATAATGACCTATGACTTATTACTTTACTTAATATTAAGTAATTATTACATCATACGTATTACTTATTGCGTATACATAAGAAACATATGATAACAGGTGATCAAAACATATATACTCCTTACTGATTATCAATGACGCTTTTTTTTCCTGCAAAAGTATTTACTATTTTTCTTGAGCAAGTTATTTTCGATATGTCAAGTGAAGATCGCTCAAAGTTAAAATATCCGGGTGAGTCTACCTTGTATACCTTGTACCTATTATTATTTTTATTAATCAAATGATAAAAGAATATAACTTTGCATTCAGATTATTGGAGCCGAGACTTTAACGCCTGGGGAAACTTAAACAATTGGGACACCTACTGGATCGAAAAGCAAACAAAGTCAACATCAATTACCAAGTACAATTTCCACATAGCCTTAGATGACAAACTGAGATGCCTGAGGAAAATATATACAAGTACACATCCTGCTTATAATAAAATCCTTAATTTGCAGAAAGAATTGAAGGGAAGTATAAATAAGTTCATTTTTAAGGAGAATAAAAGTGTACTCTATGTCTAATCCAGCAGATGAGTTCTGAGATGGTTTTAATGAGTTTAAAACTGATGGGTAGTGATGAGTTCACGTGGGCATAGAAATACTATTTGAAATGCATTTCAGATGAGGAATGTTGTTTTCAAACAAGAAATGTTCACTTGAGTTAAACTTGGGGGCTGAGTGCCCAGCTGAGGGAGGGATGAGTTCTCATAGCTTGTTGTAGACTTCCTTCCTCTTGTTTTTATCTTGAGATGATTATATCATTATAATTAATCATATTAATATTGTATATAGATAAATTCTAAGAATGAACAAATCCAAAAAATTTGGGAGGAATGTGATAAATTTAGGTCATTAGAAATCGAGTCTTGATTAGTTGACATTAAATTAGTCATTGATAAGGCAAGTGCTTTATGAACCTTTGATATTTCTTAATGATTTGTTATAACTTATTTCTTTATTGTAGAAGGGCATGTAAGATGGCTTGAAGATAGCTTGGAAAGGGTTTCACATGTATTCTGAGATGGATTTTGAGTCATTTGAAAGAGAACAAAAAAGACTGAAGAGGCATGTTAGAAATGTTCTTCTTGATGGTTTAGTGCTACCACCACTATCAACATTGTCAGATTTTACTTCTATATGTGATAGTAATGACAATGATGATGATGATAACAACATTGATAATAATGATAAAGATGATGATGACAACATTAATAACAATGATGATGACAATGTTGATGATGACAATAATGACAATGAAGAAATTCTTTATTTGAACAGTATTATCAGTTCTATGTCAGCTAACATACAAAATTGAAGTTTGCCCTTAGGAAAATTTGTTAAGAATATTTTTGCTAAAAATATATTTCGACATGCTGAAATCTTAAAAAATAAGAAGAAAATAAATGCAGCAAATAAAGTTATTTTGAAATATGGCATGTCAAGAATCATTAATCTCTTAGCACATATGTAAGATGGTTTTTTGCTAGTGAACATCAGCATATGATGAAGGATTATGAAGAAATTCTCAAAGTTTTCAAGTTAACTGAAGATGCCAATGAGTTCATTGTAAAAGTAGAAAGAGTAGGCATATATATGTGTATATTTGGTAATGTCTTTCATATGAGTTTATTTTTTTTACTGATATATAGATGGTAGAGGAAAACAATGTTAATAAAGCATACAAATATTGTTTTAGTTAGCATGCAAATGCATTAGTTCATAGTTGTTTTTATAAAATAAATAGAGTTTATAATGATTTGTGAGTACTCATATTTATTTTATTATATGTAGCTTGTTTTTATTTATATTTCTAATTTATTTATATAGTCTTTTTAAGATTAAAGACAGAAATAATTTGTAAGATTATGACAGTAAACATTATATCAAAATTGATGTTATTGTAAAAGCATATGCTTATATAGTTAATAAACTACTAAATAGAAGTAGAATACATTATAAATAGTAAATAAAAAATACCTTTTTGACTTTAACAAGTTATAAGCTTATAAATTTTTTGCACATTAGAGGTGAATTATTTTGTTTTCTGAGTAAATTCACAAGTTATAAAAAAAGAACACAAGTGCAATGCTTGATTCTTAAGTTATGCAAAAATAGATCTTGGTAAATGGAAGTTTGCTGTTAAAGCAACTTTAACTAAAACAGTTGAAGATAGTTGTCATTCAGTTAGAATCAACTAATCAATATTGAATGACCTGTTAAGCAAAAACTTAGCTGATAAACAAGTGAATATGATTAAGATTTTATTTTTACAAATTACTGCCATTTTTGGACAGTTGTTGGTAGAAGATATGATAAATAGCTTTTATATTATTTTTCTTAGTTCATTTGAATTATCAACAAAATTAGCTTATTTTAAAAATTTAAAATCAACAATAAAAATTTTTAACTATATAATGTAAGACTAAAATCTGGTTGATTTGGATTACAAATTATTTTTTTTTCAGTCCTGATATTAAAAAATTAATTATTTTAAATATAAAATATATAAAAAAAATTAATAAAATAGTTTATAAACTGAACTATGAATGTAACTTACTTGAGAATATCTTCAAAATTGATGATAAAAAATTCTTACAATGCAAATTAGCATTTATTCACAAACTATAATAGATACCAAAAAATAAATCTCAAAAATCTCAAGTATTAACAGTGATTAAAAAAATGGAAAATAAAATAAAAGAATATTATTGAAATATAGAAAAAAGATCAAATGTTTATTAAATATAATAAGAATAATAACAATCTTGAATTATTAATAAAATTGTATTATAAAAAAAATAATAAAGTTTCAGTCTTTTATTTTAATCATTTGTATATATAACTAGTATATGTAAATATAGTGGTTTTATAGCTATATATAACAGAATAAGAATAGTGATATATAAATTTTAATTTCTTTGAATTCTATATAGAAATCTTTTGAGTTTTTAGAATATTCAAAGTTATTAAAAATTTTAGCTTATATTATAGTGGTTTTATGATAAATTAAGTTTTATTCATATATATTTAAATATATAAATATTGTAATAATAAATAAATATTTATTAATAAATAAGTTAATAAATATAGAATTTTACACTAATCTATTATTTTAGTAACTTATGCATAATAATTAGATAATCTATTACTATTATATATATTGGTTTACTAACACCACATCTCTAACTATCTCTAATGAATTAACAATTCTGACCTAATGCCAAGTTGCCTAGCATGAGCATTTGCAGAGCTCTAGTTACCAATATATATCTAATTTTGTTTAACTGCATATATGCTGATATAGCTTTATTTAACTTGTATAAGTTATTTAAAACATTTAATACAACATTAGAAATAGAATAAAAGAATTTTGTAAAACTACTATTTTTGTAAATAATATTATTTAAGAAAACTATACAATTACAAAAATAAAAAAAAGAATAAGTATAATTAAATACAATAAAATAATATATATATTGTAATATATATTGTAATAATAATAATAATAATAATAATAATAATATATAAATATAAGTTAATAGAAAAAAAATAAAATTTTATAAATAAAAATTTTCTTGATTTAAAAACCAAAAAATTTTACTAAGAAGATACTAATAAAGAAAATAAAAATAATTTAACAAAATCTGAAAGTTCAAATAACAAAAAGCTCAGAAATAGTATAAAAGAATCTGATGAAAATATCTAAAAATTTAACATTAATTTAGTAAATCCTATTTATAAGCTTTTTTAAAAGTTTTTGTTAATAACTTATTGTTATATGTAGTAAAAATTAAAAACTGTATTATTTAGTAGAACTTACTTAGACATTTGTATTAAATGTGAATACTTAGATGTTTTTAGTTCTGTAAAAGATAAACATTCACATTGCAGCAACTGTGAAGGTAACCTTGTTAATTTAAAGAAATCTTCAAAATGTATTAAGAATAACAATAACAAACAATAATATGTCAAAACATAACTTTACTTTATTTTTAAAAAATTAAAATAAAGCATTTAAATATATTTTAATATATTACTATTGTTTTTTCCAATATATTTTTATATTATTTTTTTAATTTATAATTTTATTTCTTTTTATAATATAGTTCTTCTGGATCTCTTTATAATATATTTCACTTTTTTTTGATATTTGATTAGTTCTTGTGCTTTATTATTTACTATAATAAATAAAATGAAATCTTTAATTTAATTTTATTATTACTTACATTATTATACTATCAGAGTATGCTTTAAGTACCATAAACTGCTAATTCATGATTTGTTTCCATGTTAAAATTTCTCATACAATGTTTAGTTCAAAAAGCAGTACTTCTATATCATAAAAACATCTTTGATGAAGCAAAATGAAAAAAGATACATTTCTAGCATTGTAAATTCTTGATACATTAATTAGTAATTTACGAGACGAATGACAGAAGAAAAAGCCTGCAAATCAATTCACAGACTTTCACCTTACGAACTTGGTTACCTGAAGAATTTGATTTCATAACTTTATCTAGTAATTTTGTTGACACACTTAATGACATAATATAAAGTATATATTGTGAGCCCGATTTTTGGGGTCACGGGTGCCCGAATCGGGGTGACGATCCTTACCCGATCCAAGGTCACGCGA